TCAACTTGATGGAATACCCAACCTCCCTGACTCCAAGCATGGAGGAAAGGAGTTATACATAAAAAAGAAGTCAACTCCAAGAGATGTAATTTCACCTTACTCTCTGCCCTTGCTGTGGTTATCCTGAGTGATACTCATAATAAGGTCAATGAACAGAGATTGATTTTAATTGCCTGGTATGTATGTATGTATATAGGTAGTTAGTTGCAGATAAACAGCAAATTTCACAAGCTTCCTCTTTATGTGGAAGCAATCAGTTTGTCAACTTTTTTTTAAAGTTTTATTTTTGTGCACATATGTGTGTTATGTTGTATTGTGTTTGTATGTATGCCATGTGTATGACTTCCCACAGAGTCCAGACGCAGTGTTTGGTTCCCTTAAGTGGGAGTAACATTTGTGAGCTGTCCAGTCCGGGAGCTGGGACCTGAACTTAGGTTCACTGGAAGAACAGGCTGCATAATGAACTACTAAGTCATCTCTCCAGCACTGCTACCATTCTTTTAGAACTCCAGCTGTATATTTAGAATCACACAGAATACAGAAGTCCTTGAGATGTCATAGAGACAGCTGCTATGCTATTTCTCTAAGGTGACTAAACCCGTTTCTCCCAAATAGCTTTGTGGTTTGTGAGACTCCTTTCACAGCCTTCTCTGTTTTCTTTTGGATATGTTTCAGTTTGTGAATGTCCCCCAATTTCCTCAATGGAACATAATTGTAATTGGTCTGATCCATGCCTCCTTAGTGAGCTCACTGTTTTTTTTTTTTTTTTTTTTTTTTTTTACTAATAAGCTCATATCTCTTGTCAGCTTTAACTTCATCGGCTCATATTAGCTCTTCTGTTAATCAGAAAGATAGGACTTGAATGTTATCTGAGTATTCTCTCCCCATTATTCACATACTTCGTTTCTGAAACTGGTTCATTGCAAAATTCACAAGTTCACCTAGAGATGAGGATGCACGTCCCACCTGACAAGGATCTTGTGTCAAAGATAATGACTTGAGATTCGAATGGTCAATTTGGGCTCAACACTTCCAACCGCATGACTTTTGGGAGACAAGAAACTCTATGTTCAGCCTCCATTAGATAACATGGCAAGAAAATAACCTACTGAGGTATGAAAATAGAATGAGATAATACCACTGCCTGACTGAATCTTCCCTTTTGCTGCAAGTACTGAATGTGTCAGGATGAAAAGAGAATGGAGTGACTGCTCTTACTGCATGACTGTGAATCGATAGTTATAAAACACACAAAGTCTTGCAGCTATTTATCACTTTCTCTAGTCTCAAGTTTGCATGCTTCCTCCTATATTTTCATCTCAGATGGTTTTCCTCATTTTAGTGTAAAAAATGAGAGAACTCAGAAAAGAAATCTCATCTACTCTCACTGCCACACTCACGGACTTGCTTGTGACTGTGTGCTTATCATTCTTGGAGGAATTATAGATACGTCTGTATATTTTTTTGGTCTCTTACACCACAAAAATGTAAATGCCCAAGAGCTAACGCCTCCTCCTGTTTTGCTCCCTGTTGTATTTTCAACCCAAGTATATGGCACCTGTTATTCAAGAGTCACCCATCAGGACAATGAACGAACACATGAAGCATGTGTGGTAGATGTTCAACTCAGGTCATGCAGCAAGTACTTTTATTTACTGATATATCTTGCTGATCCAAAGTTTATGTTTTAAATGCATTTTTGAATATTTGCTCATTTATTTATCTGGAAATGACCATATTCCAGGCACTGACAGTTAAGTTTTAAATTGGTCGAGATTAGAGAAGAGGGACTGCCCTCTACTATCCTGCTAGTAAATAATATGTTTCTCTAAATGCAAATTCTATGCTCATCTTTTCTGCCTCTTAATCTCCCATTGGCTTCCATACATTTTTTTTTTTTAGAGCATGCTGTGGCCATCTTTCTCCCCTTTCCTCCTTTCCCATGGTTCACTTCATAGATACACAGCCATGACCAAGGCCATTCTACAAGGTAAACCTGATCCCTCTACTCCTTTTTGTAGAAGAGGCAGGTTATAGTAAAAGAAAAATCAAAGAGTAGGAGGTTGTTAATGGACTTGGAGTCACTTATGATAATACATTAATTTAATCAAAAGCAGGTAGACAAACACAACGGTATAGAACACAGAGGAAAAGCTTGCAGCAAGCATCTAAAACCTGTAAAGGTCTTGAACTCATTTGTCTCGTTTGTCAATAGAGAATCAGCTGAGAGATAAATGGAATGGTATCCTTGAACTCTATTGGAAAAAACTGATCCTTGCCTTCAGTCTGTGGATCAAGCAGTGTATGTGAACTACTTTTTACTTTGGCTTTTGACATCTTTGTTGCTTAAAAATTTCAATATCCAACTCATTTTACTTTCCTAAATTTATCCTTCTGTTTTCTGCTTTTGTGGTTTTTTTGCATATCCTTTTCTCTGTGGGGATTTTCTTCTTTCTCTCCTTGCCTGACAAACAATTGTTTAAAACTCAGTGTGAGTATCAAACTCTCATTTATACATACTCTTTGCTTTATGTCATTGATTGTCTTCACCATATGGTCTTAATGTATTTAATGTATTTTATGTCCAGGCTTCCTTTTTCATCTTTCTATTTCCTTACACCTTGGTATTCCCTGCAAAAAATAAATGCCAAATGTCTGTGCAGCTGAATGGACATCTGTGAGGGAAAGGTTATTCTCCACCTCTCCCTTTCAGCCTGGAGGGACAGTCTGGTCCTGTCCACAGCTGACTGTCGTTTATCCTTGCATTTTGTGTTCGACAGCCTGTGCCAACAGAAGGAAAGTGGTGTGCATCTGGACCCCAGATTTTCTAAGCACCATAGCCCTCATTCCAAGGGAGAAGCAGAGGAGGAGCATTGCTATTGTGTAAAAAGCAAAGCACTTTCCCCAATGGAATCTACTTTGTTTACATGCTTCGGAGTACTAATGTTTGGAAACACACATTGGAGCAGGGTATTAAATTCTACAGGCAAAAAGCCACCCAACCAATACTCTAAAATTGGCCCATCAATGTCTTCTTTTACCCATCAACTGCACAGCTTGGGAATATATTTTTAAAATGAATCTTATTTTAAAGCATCAAAACATTTTCCAGTGTCTACCTAGCAGCCAGTTTTCTTATGTTATTCATGCTCACAAGCTGCCACTGTGACCAGGTTTTTCCACTACTTAATGGAAGGTACTATCATTTCCATCTTGCTACTGCCTGGTAGTACTGAGGAATGTAAGCTATAAAAAACTTCACTTGTCAGGAAATATTAATGCAGGAGGTGTGGCCATTCCTCTTCCAACATTTAAGAGTTTAAGCTGTGATAATAAAAAATGTTGACTTTTTTCCTGAAATCCAGAGAAGAACTTGCAGGCAATGAAAGCAAAATCCAAATGGATTACAAAACTAGGGTAGAGTTAAAGAAAAAAAAATACCAGAGAACACATTCAAGATATTGCTATTGAACCAGACAATGGCTATGAAATTATGTTACTGGAGACTCTTTGAAGGAAGAATAATTTCTCTGTATACTCATGTATTTTCAATCACCTAGCAGAGCTAGATAAAGGAGAATGGATTCTTGGTTCAGATATAACAGTGGAACAAATCCTTGTCAACTGTCACAGTGGTGAAACCAAGCACTTAGAGGACTTTAATTCTTGACAAGACTGATCTGTCTTAAAGAGAAGGGGAAAACTGTGGTACCTTGTTACTGGCGTCCCCAGGATAAAGGAAAGCTGCCTAACAAGGTGATTAATAAGCAACATCTCTACTTCCAGTGAGCTGCTGTAAGACTAGTTTTAAAATCCCAGACAGTTATCACATGCAAGGTTTGGAAGGAGTAAAGAGAACCACTTTTAGTAAAAGACTTAAAGGTTACCAAAAAGGTGGCATAGAATTCACTCAAGTGATCAATTCCTGAAAGGGGTGGTGTTCTGATAAATGTTGACAGATAAAAGAAGATTCAGGGAAATGTGCTGGGCCAATGAACATGTGGAAGTCGGGGTTCCAACAGACAGGGAAAACTCATGCATGTTAGAGTTTGCCTTTGACCTGCACAGCCATAGGTAGTGATCTGTAGAACACTATAATAGATATCACCCTCGCCAACATTTCCATTTGACCTGTGTTACTGTGCATTTTTTTAGAAGTTTTATTTTAAATTACTCATTTGTTTTCAACATTTGTTTTACCTATAATCTGAGAGATAACATTCCCCTTCTTGCCCTTTGCCACTGAGTTTATCTTTTGATTTTCTCTAAACATTTTTCTGTTCACAGATCATCTGGAGACTTACATAAATGCTCTCCAGAGAAACAGGTTTACACACACACACACACACACACACACACACACACACACACACACAGAGAGAGAGAGAGAGAGAGAGAGAGAGAGAGAGAGAGAGAGAGAGAGAGAGAGTGAGTCCTGTGCAAGCTCAGTTCTGTGCTCATTGATTCTCAGCCTCACTCACATAATCTCACCGGGGTGAGAAGTATCCTTTGTGAATTTTGTGCTGTTTTGACTTTAGGCCTTGTTAAGAAGGGTGAATTTTCTCTGGTTTACTCTGCTCCTTTGCAGAGGGCACAAAGGCAACATCTTGGACCTTCAGTCTATCTGTAAATGAGAAAGGCCAAGTCCACTGTCCTTTTTCCTGCTAGGGCTTTAGAATGTTGACATCTGCTCTGTTGTCCTTTTCCGTTTTGCCCAAATGATTACTTAACCTGCTACTAAGATGTTAAGGATTTCTCATAAATTACAATATTATTTTAGCCAAGATACAAAGGCTTGAACTGTCTCATAAGCAAATCCTTAAAAAGTGAGAAAGAGATATAAATACTCATTACATTGATCTGATCATTTTGTGATATATGTGTATATAACATCATTAAACAGTGTCCCGTAGTTACATTCAACTCAAATAACAGTAATTCTCTTCAAGTAATTCTTACTATAAGATTTTAACACAGACTTCGGATGATGGCAATGTTACCTGGTAAAAACAGTTCTTCTTGGAGTCTTGTTCTGGCCTGTTGGGAAAAACATCTTTTCTTCAGCCAATTTGCTTCAAATTCACTGTAATGCTCATTGGGCCATGTGATATAAACCTTACAAAACAGAAAGCAATTATCATCTATTTGTCCATTGCATAACTCTACACCTCTGCCTTCTGCAGTTGATTTTCTTCTGAATTTTATTTAAAATTCCCGGAGAATTCAATTAAACATCACTCTCCCTTTCCCTCACAAGACAAAGGTCTATTTCCGGTGCCTAAGGCCAATGAGACAATGTGTAAGAAATAGAGTTTTTTTTTTAATATTTATTTATTTATTATGTATACAATATTCTGTCTGTGTGTATGCCAGCAGACCAGAAGAGGGCACTAGACTCCATTAGAGATGGTTGTGAGCCACCATGTGGTTGCTGGGAATTGAACTCAGGACCTTTGGAAGAGCAGGCAATGCTCTTAACCTCTGAGCCATCTCTCCAGCCCCAAGAAATAGAGTTTTGCTCACCTGACATTTCTGCTTTACATACTCTAAATATATGATCCTCAAAGTTTCAATGATCGGGCACGGCTATTAAGAGTGAGAAGTGGGAATAGAGGACTCAAGCTGAGAGAAGAATGAATTAATGGAGAAAGGACAGGTTTTCTGATGACGCTTGTTCTTCTGGTGAGAAATTGGAAATAAGGAAGAGAGAAAAATGGTTGATGTCATAGCTGGTTGATCTTGAGTAATGCTCTTAGGGCTTGACTTCTTATACACTGACTCACTAGTTTGAATAAATAATACTAATCAGTATGATTTCTGAGTTGGTGTTCAAGGCCAGGGAGTATGATAAACAATCTACCCAGATTATCTCACTGAATTCTCATATTTATGTGAACAAATTCTTTGTTTTTCTGGCTCGATAGAGGAGCAAACTGAGTGCCAGATGCACTATTTTTATGGTATAAATTGCATGATTGTGTTTCAAGGCCATTGCCCACTAAAAGCAAAAAGAGCAAAGTTAAACATTTTATTAAAATGGTAGTAGTAAAAGGCAAATTATTTATACATTTTGAAGAGAAACCGGAGTACAGCAACAGGTTGTATTTCTGTATTTATATGTGTGCAGGTACGCATAATGATACTAAAGAAAAACAGGCCAACAGTTTGAGAGAGGGAAGGGGAAATATGACGGGTTGGACACAGGTGATGTAATTTAATCCAGTTAAAATAAACAGTATACACATTAGAAAGAAAAAGAAAAGAGAAATATTTTATCTGTTATAACAACAGCAGATTTTCCCACTGAGTATGCTCCACTCTGTATCAAACACTCTACAAACATTCCCACAGGGATGTTTTGCTTTATATATGATAAGTTGAAGTAAATTGATTTACATTATTATAAACTAACCTCTTGATTTAACTCAAAAGAGAAGGGCAAAATCACTAGAGATAGTTACCTTTTTCCGGTCAAATGATAAGTCTTTGATTCTAATGTTCACGTCGAGAGCTTCCAGGAGAAGTTTCCGAGCTTTTGCAGAATGCAGGTAGCATTCTGAACACTGGCAGTTGTCTCTCAGCCACACTGCTGGGTAGAGGGACTCTGCCCCATCGTGCCAAGAGATCTGCAGCAGATGAGCCCCGTCCACTGCTTCTGCCTTTAGGATGGCACAGTGCATGTTTCTGGCCTTTGAAGATAAATTCTTCCTGCTATGACAAGGCAGTGTGAAAAGCAATAGCAGGCAGATTGTACCTGAGCCTGACCTCTATGATAATACAAGTGGACTCTGACCTCTACTTTCCACTCAGCGGTGTAAGCCTGTGGTTTGACCAATGCTGGGACCTTTGTTCTGATTAGAGTATTTCACGTGGTGAAAACAGAAACAGGGTGACTAGCTTTATGATAAAAATGCTACATCAGCACCCAATGGAAAGAATTCCTTGTTCTCTTAATAGAAATTTTAGATGATAAAGTGAGAACCAATGGTACCCCCATTTATATAGCCATGTCTGTAGAAAAGCTGTGGAAAACTGCCCCGCAAGTGGAAAGTATAATGTTTGCCTCCCCGTTTTAGCTTTTCAGTACTTCTAATTGAGCCCAGGGCTCTACCCAGCAAAGACAGGTACTCTGCTATTGAGCTTTGGACCTAGCTCAGGCCTCTGCTGTTTTGACTGATGACAGCTGCACCTGGCTTTTTGAAACAAAACATGCTTCCATGATTCTCAATGACCACCAAGGGACTAATAATGCAATTAATTCGCTTGAAGGATAATGTGCCTCAGAATATGGTGTTATTTATATTCTATTATTTGCTTTTTAATTGTGCAGTATATTTTCTCATTGGAATATCAAAATACCAAAGTCCTTAAAAAAGCTTACCGGGTTTGTTTTCTGATGGTTTCTCCCTTTGCTCATTTGGAATGTCTTGCTTTGTATTAAGTGTTTATGGGGTAGTTTTATGTATCTACATTTTGACTGGGAATGTATGATTTCTTTTTATTACAAAATACACCAAATTTGTAGCAAGGAAATAATTATGGGGAAAAAAATCTAGTGGAAGAAAGGAGCCAGGCTGCTTGCACTGCGCAACTCAGGGTCAATCTTATGTCAATTGTGTGTGTATTCCTGATCTTTAGAAACGGTGCAAAGTTATAGACTTAAGTTTGTGCACATATTTTTTTCTGCAATTCTCAACATGTGTGCAAAGAGTAGAATTTAATAAAAATAAAATAAAATAAATGTATGCCAAAGAACCAGAATGCGTTAAGTTTTTCTAGAGGACATTGACGCCTTTTACTCTCCTAACAGCAGGTGACAGGACAAATGAAATGACAGTTACCTTGCAACAAAAGGACAACACACAGCACAGGGTCTGCTTATACAACCCCTTCAATGTATCAGGAACCGAACCAGCACCAGGGACTTACCAAACAAGACAAAGGCACTTACTGAGTTTCTTGAAATTTAAAGAATGGTTTGTATCATATTAAAGTAAATTTACAGTCTTTTCATGGTATTTAAGTAGTCAATTTCTAAGTGATTGTATTGCATGTTATTTCACAAATCAAACAGCTTCGGTGATCTCTTTTGATTATAGAGTTGAGCCAAGACAGGAAGTTTGCTTTCTTTATTTAGTTCAAGTACACTAAGTTTACCAAGTCTCTAGGTAGAAGAGAGACAATTCATTGGGCCTCAGGTGTGTATGCTCGCTTGGGAACTCACACCCAAGCTTTGCCTAAATGTTAATGACAGGAGAGCATTACCATGCAAACTATTCATTAAAATTATAATTTAATTTAGACTTGGAAATTTAGCATGTGTGTTTGTAGATAACTGTAGCAAGTTTGGAACCAGCTCCTCTGTGAAATAGATTGCACACTTTGTGTTCCAGATGGGAGGTGGTGGAGGCTGTGGGCAGTTCCCACGGGCACAGGTTCAAAGAACAGTGGTGATTCCAGTCAGCAACTCTGGGATTGTGCAATTTTTTGTGGCATGTAATATAAGGACAAGATAGATAGATAGGTAGGGTTTGAGACCAGCCTGGTCTACAGAGCTAGTTCCAGGACAGGCTCCAAAGCCACAGAGAAACCCTGTCTCGAAAAACCAAAAAAAAAAAAAAAAAAAAGATAGATAGGTAGGTAGGTAGGTAGGTATGAAGTCTAAAGAGAAGGCTCAGTGGTTTAGAGGTATACTGCTCTTCAGAGGATCTTGGTTTGGTTCCTGGTACCCACATCAAGTGGTTCATAACAACCTGTAACTCCAGCTACAGAGAATACAACAGCTCCGGCCTCCTTGGTAACTCTCACTCACCTACACATATGTACTCACAGACATGCACACATATACATAATCAAAATAAAATAATCTCTTTTATAAAAGAGAGAGCTCAATTGTTTTCTATGTCAGGAGTCACCAAATAGATTCTACAAAAGGGCTGAAAGACTGTTCGGTTTGTAGGGAACATATAATTTCCCTTTTATATTTTTAATTTTTAAACCTTATTCAACATATAGCAGCTATTCTTAGCTCAAGGCATGTATAAAAGTGGTCTGTGGGACATTCTGGCCAAGAGCAGCAGCGTGGTAGTCCTTTCAAAATCCAAATGTTCTCTCCTTCAGTGCAGTGCACTAAACAGTGGTACTTCAATGTGGAAAACAGCTCTCTCCCTTTCTTGGGGAGGTGACAGTTCAGCACTCACGAACAATAATGCTGCTTTGTATACCTGCTATTAGAAGGATCATGACATTCTACACGACAAGGGAAACTAAGAGGAATACAAAGTAATCAAATAAACCAGGTGTTAAATGGTTTCAATAATCGTTAGAGAGCATCATTTCATTTACTCTCTATAAGGATCTGTGACCGATACTGCTTTATACTCCCTGATTCTACCTTATTTTGCTTACTCACTAATATAATATTGATTTTTCAGTATAAACTTAGGACATGGCTACATTTTCTGTTTCCTCTATTACTAAGATTAGTATACAAATCTGGCCAGTAAAATGTTTTGGCTGCTTCCACATAGGGAACATTTTCTAAAAGGAGATAGTAATATTTCAGAATACAAAGGCAGCATATGAATATTCATAATATAAGAAGCACAATCCTACTTACAATATAATCATTTAAAAGACTTGGGATTAATTTAACCAAGGAGATAAAATCTATACACTGAAACTCTAAGACAACTGTGAAATTATTTGAAGACAATTGTAGGAGGTGGAAAAAATAGCATTTACTCATGAGTTGGGAGAATCAATGCTGTTAAAATGCCCATGGTACTAAAAACACAGATTCAGTGAAATTCATATTATAATACCAATAATATGATTCAGAGCAATAAAAAAGTAATGATTGACATTTGTATGGCAGCCCAACAGTTTCTAAATAGTCAAAGCAACCAGCCAGGAAAGAAATACAGAACTGGAGGTACCATACCATATGATTTTAAAATACAGTGTAAAGCTATAGTGACAAAAGCAGCATGGCAATGAC